TCCCACAAGGGGGTGCAGAGCCCAGAAGAAGTGGGAGGGAGAGGAGTGGGGCGGGAGGGGGGCGGCTGTGAATAGAAAAAGGCATTTTCTTTAGCAGTGTGAAATGAGCAATAAATGTATTAGGAAGCTGACAAGGGGGCTGCGGGGCCCACAAAGAAAAGCTGTGGAGAGTTGGAGGCTAATCTCTCCTCCATCTGCCCTCCTCATTACCATTTAGCGCACTATCAGTTGCCAATCAGGCCTCAATGCCTCCCTTTCTAGTCTTTATTACGGAGGCGCCCGCTAGAGCCGCTGTGTAGTGAAGGGCTCTGTCAGCTTTCCCCATTCTAAACCCCCTATTTTCCAGGGGTTTATCAACTCGGTTGTAAATTGCTATTAAATGTAAGTCTCAGCAATAATGAACCTTAAGCCCCTTCTTCACTGAGCCCCCCCCGCTCCCGCCCGCACCCCCCCTTCTCCCCTTCTCTTTCTATTATCATCTTTTGCCAGGGTATTGGATGCAGTCCACCCGGAGGAGAGCTGACATTGTTGGGCCCGTTGTTGGAAAAAGCTGCTTATCCTTTAAAATAGTTAATAATTAGATTAAAACTTCAAATAAATTAACTAGGGGATGAATGAGGGAGCCAGGAGGGGGGTGCAGGGGAGGGGTTCTTCATGCCCAGAGAGGGTCATTAAAATGGAGTAGGGCTCTCCGGCCCGTCTGGAGGGTGGGAGGGAGGCTGGCCGCAGACCCACAGGCCTAAGGGGTCTCCCCACCATCTCAGGAGGTGCCCGCAGAGAAAGGGATGGGAGATGTCCCCTCAGGTTAAGAGTCTCCCACCCTGCAAGAAGACAACTTTGCACCTTCCGCAGAGCCCTGTGACAGCTTGCCAAGCCCCATGGCAGGCAGGTGGAGCACAGCCTAAAGCCCCAAAACCAGATGCCAAGGCAGCACCAAGAGAACCCAGGTGCCCTGGCTCTGACCACCAGCTAATGACACCTCCCTGCAGACTGGAGCCTGCTTGTGTCTCTCTCTCTCTGCACTTGCACTTGCCTGTGGCCCCCAAATGTGACCGCAGACCCCAATGCTCGTCCTTACTCCATGACTTCAAGGCTAAGCCTTGTGCACTTGCTGCTTTTGGCAGCCCAGTACGCTCCATCTTCAGCTTCCATCTGTCCAACCTGGAGGTTCAAGGTCTCAGGTCTTCAGCCTCCAGCCTAGACCTCCATGGAAGGAAGACACACTTTGCCAATCAATGCATCTGCAGGTCTGAGCAGACTTGCTTAAAGGATGCTCTGTGTCTCTGTAGCAGGGGCCTCTACACATCCCTCTGCCCTGGGTGTCAGATCAAAGACCTTAAATCTGCATGGGCTGGGTTCCTTTCTCAAGGTGGACAAGTATCTTCTCAATTCACTCTGTACCAGCGCGGGGATGTGTCCCTGACCTGCTGCCCCATTCTCTTTGCAGCAACCCCACTTCTGCATTCAGAGTGGGGGCTGATCCATCAGCTCCAAGCCCTCCAGAAAGGCGGTGCTCATCAGCACAGTAAGATGCAGACCACCAGCGAGATGGGAAGCCAAGGAAGATGTCCTTGGACACCACAGCCACAAGGGCAAATTTATTGGCTGCCTTCTAGATGCAGAAAGGGGCAGGAGCACAGGTGGAGCAAACAACTTAACTATGGGAGAAAGTTTGGAGGCAACTCCACGACCAAACCTGGAACCCACACGACCCCCCCTTCAGCCACAAACTTCCAGCATCCAAATTCTCCTCCACCCCAGTTAAAAAAAAAATCTTGCCTGAAAGGAGAGACAAGATGGCTGAAATGCAGGTCTTGCTGGAGCCCACGGCTGAATGCTCAGGCCCTTGGGTGAGATGAGGATTTATCTCAAGAAGGAAAAAATAAAAGCAGGGAGACAAAGCACTTACCTTTCTTGAACTCAATCTCTAGAACATCTGGAGTGTCTGGAGCGCTGGCAGGATCTTTGGTCTTTGTATAGAGCCCGGGGGGAGCATGGCTCTGCAGGAAAGAGAGAGGACTGAGAACTGCTACCTGTGCATACCCACAAAAGCACGCCCTGCACCCTACGGAGAACACGCATCGCCGGTGCACGGGTTTCCCACTGCACGCCGGCCCTATACCACAGATTTAACATCACAGGCACGAGGGAAGGGCCCATCCCCTCACCACTCTCCTATGTAACCTGCTCCCACTCAAGAAGCGCCATCCCCCCCATCCCAGTGAGGGCTGGGCCCCAGAAAGGTGTTGATAGCTCACTTCACCATCGACTAAAGGGCTGTGTCCTTTACTTTAGGCAGTGAAGGCTTGTGCTTTGGGGCCCAGAGGTCCCAGCTTCTGGATGCAACCCATTCGGGGTGACACCTTTCTAGCCCCATCTCCTACCCAACTCAGAGCAGCACCGCCTTGCAAGCTGCCTTGAAAGCTACCTTTAAAACATGGACTTCAGAGTAGACGGAGGCAGCCCCAGCTCCCACCTACCCGCCTTACTTCACTTGGGCTCCATTTGCCTACACACGCACCCGTGCCGTCTCCCGGGAGAAAACCGCGCTTGCCTCCGCGACAAAACCTGCCTAGCAAAGAGCTCTGACGTCGTCACAAAGGCGAGCGCTGGAGCTTGCAAGGGGTCTGGAACAAAGGGCTAGGAAAATCAGACAATTTTTCCCCTCAACTTGATCTCATCTTTTTCTTTGACGCCCCCACAGCTGGAGATGGAATAGCTGTGGAGGAACAAGTCAGGCAGGAAAAAGTGCGAGTTGGGCAGAGAGACAGAGAGCGAGGCAGAGCGCGCACACTTCCCGCGAACGACGCCGACGCAGAGAATTGGGGTTTATTCTGCACTGACCGAAAAAACTAATGACTAGTCCTGACCTCAGCAGGTGCTCCTGCCGCATGTGCTTTTTTACAGTGTCCCCAAGGTTAATACACCCAGGGGGAAAATGGAGGAACAAAGCAAAAATCCATTTCAAAACGCATCAACCTTTATGTATATTTTTTTCCAGATTTAGAGTAAAGAGGCATCTTATCTCTTTTAAAGCCGGGCCAGTGGAAACAGCCACGCTCTCACAATTAGTTTATGCCTCGGGACTCGGGCGACTCCAATGAATTGCCACAATTGGAAGCACATACCAGAAGAAAAAAAAAAAGAAAAAGAAAAAGAAAAAGTCTTTCTGTCCGGGATTGTGAATGTAGCCGCCTTTTGGAGAAAGCTTTGCAATTTAGTGCGTCCCTTCCCCTCCCTCTCCCCCTCACATGTGTGAGACTGGATGCAGTGGCCCTGAAAGGCTTTCAGACCAAATGCACGGGGCTAATAGCCAATGCAACTGGGCCTGATTTTCCAAGTGCTAAGCGCCCACAGCTCCTCCGGACTTCTAGGGGGCCCGTGGCTCTGAACTTACGACAACAAAGCTCCGAAATAATGGTGGGCATCCGAATGGTTAAGGCCAACCTTTTCAAAGTTGGGACCTTGAAACTCCTTCTCTGCCCAGTCCCTTACAGCTTGCTCGACAAGCTTTTCCCAGGACGAGCAACGGGGAAGAAGGGTGCTTTCTCTTTCAGAGCCACGCTTCAGCTTACAGTCTCTTCCAGGGGATTCTCATTTCGGGCTAGTGAAGATTATTCCCAACTCCCACTTGATCACGTCTCCCACTCTCCTGGTGGACACGCTGTCTCCTAAAGTGTCCAGCAGTGCCACGGTGATTGCCCAGCCGGGGAGGCAGAACTTGCACTGCTGTTAAGACAGTCAACTCCAGTTAAGTTGCCTCTGGGATAATTTGCCAACATGATTTTAATTTGACCCTCCCACCCTCCATTATCAATTCCTGCTAAGAGTCACTACTGGATAATCCACCATTATTTGTATTCCCTTTGGAGAGGCGAATTAGCTAGAGATGACTATTTCTTTTGCAAGAAAAGGTGATTAATTGCAAACAAGTTGTTCACCCTCATGGTGATGTCAGAAATCAGAATTTAAAAATCAGAAGCTGTAAAGCAGGTGTGAACACATAATCCAAGAAAACAAAACGTTGGATTGAGGCAGTGGAAATGTTTCAGTAATTTTAAAACATTTCAAAAAATTCACAACTGTGTCATGTATGCAGCATCACATTAATAGGAGCTGAGGGCATGGGATCAGATCTGCAAAGTGTTTTTATGCTTTGCTTTGCAGAATATAAATGGGCATTGCTTCCAAGGTGTTTTGCCTCCTAGGCTCTCCCCGCCCCCCACTTTTTTAAATTATTTTTTTTAGCTTTTCTCCGCACTTTTCCAGCGAGAAAAAAGGCTGAAAAAAGGCATTCTAAACAATTCTATTTTTTCTCAAAAATGTGAGAAAGTTTCCAAATTCAAACTAAAATTCAAAACGAACCACTTTTTTAAAACTCTAAAATGCTTGAGGGAAAAGCTAGAAATGATCGTATGCAATTTTTCAGTTTTATCCCAAACTCTGCTTTTGTCTACAAAAATGCCAGCTGTTCCAGCACGTGCATTTATTTGCTTGTTTTGATGACTTTTTTGGATTCAACTTTGTTTTCAGCAAGTCTCTTTCTTACCCAAAAAGGTGAGGAAATAAGAAGAGGCTTCAGAGCAACGTGGGCAATTTGGCCCAGTTTCATGGGGCTCTGTTGGACGTTTCATTTCCATTGCGCAGTTCAGCACCACAAAGGTCACATCGCCCCGAAGGTTACATTCCCACCCATCTACAGAAACCATACAGGGCTGCTTGGAGTTCCCCCTACAGCAGTGCTAGGCTGGACGGCCATTCAGGCGGCACTTTGGTTTCATTCAACCTATGCTACAGAGGCCAATATCGTCTTCTCACCTGGTTCACTGCACTAGCACAACCCTGCACTCCCGGCTTTTCCACCTGCACGACCATCTAACTGACCTGTACTATCCTTCCCGGCCATTGCAGCAGGTGTCCAAGGAAAGAGACCATGGGATTTCATCACTGCCTGACCATGGCTTAATATGCTGATAAACCTCTCCATGTAGAAAAGCCTCATTTAGGAGGCCTATGATCATACGGTTCACCCTCCAGTTGCACAAGACAGTCACAGAGCTATTACTCAGAAAACACTGTGACTTCTCACCAGGGGCCCAATCCGACACTAACTGGAGCCTTTTGCATCGGCTTTGGATCAAGCCTACTGGGACCAAGTGTCACGAGCAGAGGGGACCGTGAGGACGGCCAAGGTCTACTGCACAGAGGAGGAGCGCAGGGACTGATGCAGTTAGCCCGTTTTGGTAGAGAGGAAAAATACCAAGGAATTGCCGTTTTATATTGATTTGTCCAGGATTCTGGGAGCTCCTGTGAACAGAAGGTGTTGATATATCACAATATGTGTGCCTTCTAGTTTAACCGTTACGGGCAGACTTCTCTGTTTGTGTAACACACTGACCTCAGGGCTATACCTATCTACACTGCCAGAGAACATGGGTATTTTATACCCACATATACATGCCAACAAATTATATCCTCAATGAGTAAAGTCCATGGTGCTTTGCTGATTTATACCAGTGAAAGTCTGGCAGATATATAGGTTACAGATATAGACATATAAACTAATGATCTTTTAAAAGCATGGGCCACGTGCCGTCTCTAAACCAAGAGACGGAGAGCACGGATTTTTGTGGGGGGTTTTTAAAAATATATATTTTAGTAAAAGCTACCCAGCATTTTCATGCTTCTTTTCCTTTATTTAAACAACACGTATATGATTGCACGCGCGCGCGCACCACACACACAAATTATATGGGCTGCAGATTTCAATTTTATATTGTTTGGCCTTTCCTAGCCCTGATCATACTTATTAACTAGACAAACCCATTGGAGATGATGAAAAACTTTGAGTTCAAAGGAAAGGACAGGAGGGGGGAGTGGGGAAAAAAATGAGAGAGAGAGAGAGAGAGACAGAGACAGAGAGAGAGAGAAAGTATTAAAAACTCTTTACTAAACATTGGAAGTCAAAGTCAGGTAGTTTCCAATTTTCTAAGCCAACTATGAAAACCCCTATTAAATAAAATAACTAAATAGAAATAAAAGTGACATTTGGCTTGCATTCCATCATTACGGCGCAAGTCTTTTTATTCTCTCTCCTAAAAGCACAGTTCAAATGACAAATAGTTTGTTGCAGTGTATCAATGCCTTCTATTTATCCCTCCCTGCAGGGAGGCTAGGCATGCAATGTCATCTTTAAATGGGAGAGAGAGGGAGGAAAAAAAAAAGGAAGAGTGTGTGTGTATGTGTGTGTGTGTGTGTGTGTGTGTGTGTGTGCATATGTGTGTAGAAAGAGAGAGAGAGGGAGAGAGAGAGAGGGGGGAAAAAAGAAAGAAGCAAGAAAAACGGGGCAAGAAGAGAAGAAATTGGAAGCAAATGGTCCATGAACTAAACCATGATGTAGAGCTATCGATGCCGCAAATGGTTTATTCATCCGGCTGATATTGTTGTGCCGGAGACTGAATGAACTCTTTCAGAGTGCCATATGAAGTTAAAGCAAGTAAATTTCTATCTTTCTCCGCATTAGCTGCCTCATTGCCCTTCAATCGGGCCTCACAGAGGCAGAAAATAGCTCAACCATCTGCTTTCAAATCCCTCCATTTGGCAGGTCTCAGGGGTTTGTGGGGGGAGCCTCACGGCAGCTTGGCACCCCTCTTCTCTTTGATGGCCTTCTCCACAGCGTCTGGAGCAGCACCCCAGGGCCTAGGTTTAGGCAAGGGTCGGGGAGCTGCAGGGAAATCACTACCCCTCTAAAGCGGGGAAGAGACTGTGTTAATGTTTAACCCAATGCAAGTGTCCCCTGCAAATTCCCGTGCAGGAAATGGGAGGGACGTGGCAGCAGCTGGCACCAAAGAGGTTAAAGGGGAACCCAGGAAAAGGTTATATCAGTCTAGGACGAGTGGCACTTTCCTTTCTGGGCTAGGCTAGGAAGCTGAGTTTTCTCATCCGGCTTTGGTCACCAGTAGAACGAACCTGGTGGCCTCCACCCAGCCCTTTATGGAGA